ATATCAGGATTATTCCAGATAGGTGTGCGTCTGCATGGTACTGTTGATCTGTTAGTTCTAAACCCATACTGGCAATTTGCCAACAGATCATGTTTATCCACAAAGTTGTCAAGTCTTTTTAGAAATAGTTTTTCCAGTATCTTAGAAAACTGGCAGAGTACCGACACTGGTCTATAATTTGTAAAACAATGCTTTTCACCTGATTTATAAATGGGGATAATTCTTGCTACTTTCATTTTTTGTGGAAAAACCCCTTCCTGGAAAGAAATTAAAAATATATTGTAGCGGTTTTACAATACCATCAATTACTCTCTTTACTGTTACCACATCAATATCATGGAAGTCAGTACTTGTTTTGTTCTTAAGTCCACTGACAATATCATACATCTCCTTCTCTTCCACTGCTCTTAAAAACATTGAACTTGCATTCCTTTCAATGTTTCCTCCAGTCTCCCTTTCTATCATATCAACCTTTATTTCTGCGGCTAGTTTTGGCCCTATATGTACAAAAAAATCATTAAATCCATCTACTACTTCGTTCATTTTACTAATAGTATTTGTCCCTTCCATAAAATACCCAGGGTAGTCATTAGTCCTTGGTGCATTTTTTATTATACTATTTAATACATTCCATATCCCTTTCATGCTATCTTTATTATCTTCTAATTTTTTGATGAAGTATAGTTTTTTACAAGTTCTCATTATGTTAGTTAATTTATTTTTATACTTTTTATATTTCTTTTCAGATTCTGTAGTTCTCTTTTTAATGAATTCTCTATATAAGGTGTTCTTTTTTTTACAGGCATTTTGCAGTCCCTTCGTCATCCATGGCCTTCCTGTATATTTGTCTTTCCTGTTGACTTCAATAAGTAGGCTATTTTTCTCTAATAAGGCCATGAATATACTTAAGAACGCCTCATAGGCTTTATTGACATCCTTATGTTTATATACAATAGTCCAATCTTGTTTTATTAACTCATTTTTGAGACACTGCATTGCCTTTTCTGTTCTAATGGTTTTATATATCATCTTACATACATTTCTATGAACTTTATAGCAAGAGTCATAAGTTACAAAGACTGGTAAGTGGTCACTTATATCATTTATCAATATCCCGGCTTTTATATTTTCTTCCATTACATTTGTAAAAATATTATCTAATAGAGTTGCACCATGAGTGGTTATTCTCGCCGGTCTTGTTATCAGGGGAAATAATCCCATACAATACATTGACTCAATAAATTCTTCAGTACTCTTATGATTTGGGTTCAATAAATCAATATTAAAGTCTCCACAAATAAACATTCTTTTCTGATTCAGATTTGTGTACAAGTCCTCCATAATGTCCTTAAAAGTCTCAAGCTTTGATCCTGGAGTTCTATATATGCAACTAATAATTATATTTTTCTGTTTGTTCATATTTATTTCCACTGTTATACATTCCATCACTCCATCTACCACCCTCGTCATTCTACTCATTTTTTCAAACCTTACATTTTTATCAACATAGAGTGCCACCCCACCTCCTTTTTTATTTGTCCTATCTAGATGGAGGAGCTCATATCCCTCCATCTCAAAATCCTCTTCTTTTCCAGTGTTTATCCAAGTCTCTGATATTGCTATCACATCAAATGGTTGATTAAACTGTGCTATATATGCTTTAATAAATTGAAAGTTTGCATATAGACTTCTACTATTGAAATGAACCATAGTTATATTCTTACCCCCCTCTATGTTCCTATTAAATTTTTCCATTGCATAATAATTACAGTCCTTTAACATTTTAGTAAAAAAAATTACAGTCAGGATCTTTATTGCTATCATACCCCAGTGTCCCAGTTTCAGCATCCATTTGATTTGTTACGTGAAATCTGTCAGCCATCTGACTTTATTATACATCTTATCCACACATCATCACCTCTAACAAAACTTTGTCTAGGCCAAGTACCATCCTACTTGACAATTCATTAAAAGTACCATTTTCCATACATACATACATACATACATACATACATATATATATATATATATATATATATATATATATATATATATATATATATGTATATATATATATATACATATGTATATATATGTCTATATATATATATATATATATATATATATAGACATATATATATATATATATGTCTATATATATAGACATATATATATATATATATATATATGTCTATATATATATATATATGTCTATATATATATATATATATGTCTATATATATATATATGTCTATATATATATATATATATATATATATATATATGTCTATATATATATATATATATATATGTCTATATATATATATGTCTATATATATATATATATATATATATGTATATATATATATATATATATACATATATATATATATATATACATATATATATATATATGTCTATATATATATATATGTATATATATATATATAGACATATATATATATATAGACATATATATATATATATATATATATATATATAGACATATATATATATATATATATATATATATATATATATATATATATATATATAGACATATATATATATATATATATATATATATATATATATATATATATATGTCTATATATATATATATACATATATATATATATATATGTCTATATATATATATATGTCTATATATATATATAGACATATATATATATATATATATAGACATATATATATATATATATATATATATATATATATAGACATATATATATATATAGACATATATATATATATATAGACATATATATATATATATAGACATATATATATATATATAGACATATATATATATATATATATATATATATATGTCTATATATATAGACATATATATATATATATATGTCTATATATATATATATATATATATATATGTATATATATATATATACATATGTATATATATGTCTATATATATATATATATATATATATATATATAGACATATATATATATAGACATATATATATATATATATATAGACATATATATATATATATATATATATATATATATATATAGACATATATATATATATAGACATATATATATATATATAGACATATATATATATATATAGACATATATATATATATATATATATGTCTATATATATAGACATATATATATATATATATATATATGTCTATATATATAGACATATATATATATATATATGTCATATATATATATATATATATATATGTATATATATATATATACATATGTATATATATGTCTATATATATATATATATATATATATATATATATAGACATATATATATATATATATATGTCTATATATATAGACATATATATATATATATATATATATATGTCTATATATATATATATGTCTATATATATATATATATGTCTATATATATATATATGTATATATATATATATATATATATATATATATACATATATATATATATAGACATATATATATATATATACATATATATATATATAGACATATATATATATATAGACATATATATATATATAGACATATATATATATATATATAGACATATATATATATATATATATAGACATATATATATATATATATATATATATATATATATAGACATATATATATATATATATATATATATAGACATATATATATATATATATATATATATATATATATATATATATATATATATATTATGTAAAGGTGAATGTAAAGGTGAACTATTTCTTTATGTTTAACAACGGCAAAGGTATACGGGCTTTTATTTTGATAGCGTCATAGCAACCGTAGCCAAGTAGGGAGGCGCAACGGGCGCAACACAGAAGAAGCAAACGGAAATCTATTAGAAGTATAGACGGAGCAAAGGATAGGCTATTAACGGTTCACGGAGAAGAAGACAAAGAAAGTTTGAAGAATACTTCTCTCTAGCTTCAGTTGATAAGGGGAACAAGGTTTGTAACTATAATTCAGAATGTTGTTATGAAAACGGAATGTGTCTATATGATTGTATTAATTGTGAAAAAGGCTACCAATGTAATCAGTTATGCATTATGGTTTATTTTATGATTTATTTATTTTTTGTTTATGCCTAGCTCTTAAGTTGGTTGGTTGATGATACGGACGGCTCAATAAATCATCATTCACCATCAGTTCCGGCCTTCTCAATATTGACTGAATGCTACATATTATATTATATTATATATTAGGCACAGCCCCGTGACATTTATTATCAATACATGTGACAGAATCAGATCACCCTAAATAGTCAGTCCCACATCCAGGGCCGTGTCAGTGCATTTGGAGACCAAGGCAAAACAGGCTTGGAGCCCCCACCACCTCATTCCCTTCTCGGCTAATCCAAGATGGCAGCAAGCTGAGAGTACAGATTGTTGTTGTATTTATTTAATAAATAACTGTTATTATATCTGTTTTTAACAGCAACCCTAGCTCAGACACCTCTTCACCTTCCTCTGGGTGTGTCATGAGTTCACTGAGCATCAGATTACCAGATTCATATGGAAGTTGGTTTGGTGAAAGTAACTTCAAGTCATGCAAAAGTAGTGTAATGCCTTACATTTTAAAATCAGTAAAATTGTAATGAAATGAACTTTTAAACGAGGGAAACAAGTAATAAATAATGCATTACAGCTTTGACTTAACTTGCCCTTAACACTGTTTACCACACGACCACACCTTTTCACCACGCTCTGTCCATTCTCTTCCTGACATGCACACCTTTACATGATCGGCTCATCAGTATCAAAAGCCAGTACCTGCTGCGGTGCGTTCACGGACCCAGCTCAAAATAGATGATCCAACATACACAGGAAAAAAACACTCGTCGGGAGTGGGAGATGGATGGATGGATGGATGGATGGATGGATGGATGGATGGATGGATGGATGGATGGATGGATGGATGGATGGATGGGTTAGAGTTAGACTTGAGGAAGAGACCCACGTTTTCTTCATCACTGTCGTCACACAGTCACGACTGATGCGTAACGTGTGGATGCCATGTTCCTCCTCCTCCTCCTCCTCCTCCTCCACCTGTTAGAAGGAGTTGTTGCCGTGTTTACTCGCGGCGGACGTGCGCTGCGCTGCGCTAACAGCAGGCTCTGACTGCGCCAATGGAGCATCCGCAGGCGGCGGGCAGGGCAGCGGCTGATGCCGGTGCTGACGGCGGCAGCAGCGGCACAGCAGACGGCAGAGACGGGGCAGCAGAGAGGATGGAGAGGACGGTGCGGGGAGAGCCGGACACCGCCACCCACCACCAGCAGCAGCAGTCCTCCTCCTCAGCGCCGTCCGGAGTGCTCGGTGAGTTTAAAGGGAAAAGATGTGGCCGTTGGGTGTTTTTATTCAGATCATGAATAGAGACAGCGGGTCGGTGAGCATGACGCTGCTACGTCCTCTGGGATCAGCTGCTCAAGCACCACCGGTGGAGGAGACGGGATGTCCCTCTGCTGTCCTGCTGGGACAGAAAGACCAGCCTGGTCCCACCGGAGCTTGGGCCTTCAGCAAGGACCCATGGTAGAGAGACTTCCATGTCAAAAATATCTATTATTAGTGAGGGCATTTCTGATGACATCATGTTAATGAAGAGTGATGTCACGCACCTTTCTGTGGAGGTCTCAGCTGTGACAGCAGGTAAAAACCCGAGTTTAGAGAATGTTTTTTAGGATAACGCTTTTTTGTAACAGCTGATCATCATTTATCTACCAGCATGCTGAAACGAGACTGTTGATGATCAAGCATCATTCTAAATTAAACAAAGCATAACGGGACATGGAATGTACCAAGATAGACCCCTCTGGAGTCATAGAGCCCCCCAAGGCACGGCACATTTAAACTAGGGCTGCACGATATTAGGAAAACCTGCGATATTCGATAACAGTGATTAATATTGCGATGACGATATTACTTGCAATAAATAAAAACTTAACTCAGGAATAAAAATAATCAAAAATAAAGAAATAAAAAAATCATAAAAATGAGAAAAGCAAAAGATGTGAGGAAAGGGAAAAGAAAAGAGAATCCGTAGATCCCGGGGAAAGCAGAATCAGCAAAAAGAGCAGAGCAAAGCTAACTCGGGTGTTTGGTAACCATCAAAATTTAGTGCCATCTGCTTCGGGGGCGGGCATCTGACCTATGAGAACCCACCCATTGGCCAAATGGGTGAAGAGCTCTGATTTGTTAAAAAAACCCATCATGCTTCCGTTTGACTGACAGAATAAATTATGTGTAGCAAACATTTGAGCAGACCGTTCACTGCGATATTTATCTGTTCTTTGCGATATGCATATTGCGCATGCTGATATCACGATAACGATATATTTACGATATATTGTGTAGCCCTAATTTAAACACACATTCACGACTGACAGTGATGAGCTACAATGTAGCCACAGCTGCCCTGGGGTGCACCGACAGAGGCTGTTGACCTCAGTAACATTAAAAACAAATGGACATCATTAGTGTATTCATTTACCAGATCACCCTACATGTGACGTGATGGAAGCCATCAGACCTTCTGCAGCCCGGGAGTCTGGTGTGTCTCAATGCCTTCTTGACACTACCCAACAAGTTCTCTTTAGGGGCGGTATCAGGTCAGGCCAGTTTGTTGGACAACCTAGATCTTGATGCAATTTTGATCAAATGACCTGCAAACTCTACTTTAATCTAGAAATGCGTCCATGCTTCCCCCCCCCCCCCCCCCACCCCCCAGCTGTGGAATGCACTACCTATCATTGTAAGGCCGGATGCCTCTTTGGGGGATTTAAATCTCATTTAAAAACCCATTTTTATGGGTTGGCTGTTAACTTCTTTCCCTGTTTGATTGTCTTATCTGTGCTTTTAGTGTTTTAACTTCTGTTTATCTGTTTCAGTGTTGCTGTTTTATCAATGATTTTTAGTGTTTTTATCGTTTTATTGTTTTCAGGTAGCTGTATTTGCCTGTGCAGCACTTTGGACAGCTCTCATGCTGTATATGAAATGTGCCATACAAATAAAATGGTATGGTGAAAAGAAGACTTTGGACCACTGAGCAACACTAGTCTAGTTCAGTTGTTAAGAAATAAGTTAAAGACACTATAAGGAGGTTATTTTTATGCTGGTGATCACCCCCTCAGGCCAAACGAGTAACTGCAGCTTCATTAGTAAGCTCGTGCATGAGGCGCGCATGCAGCTGCATGCTGTACATGCACACTCCTGAATGAAAACAACAGCTGACTCAGTCTGGTACCAGTGCAGTTTACAGGTTTAGACTGTTCTACACAATTCAGGCACGCTAGACAAGCAGCCTAAAACATGTTGCTGCTATCACAAACAGAAAGCCCCTGGCTTGCTGTGAAAGCACCAACCCTTTCCCCCATTACTATTAAATTAGTTAAAATTTTCCTCCTCCTGCTCCCTCACATCATCACACAAACATGCACATAGGACCCTGGGGGGTGGGCAAGTCAGGAAGTGCGGGCATGGACCCCTTGTCCGCATTCCTGTGGCAACCTGCCCCCCAATTTTATTTGCACCTTAAACACTTCCACCAATGACATTCAACGCAAACACACACTCAGGGCCTTGGGAGTGAACACATTCAACAGCATTTGGCAGGGGGATTTCTCAGCCTCCTCCCGAGTGCCGGTGCCCACTTCCAATTTTAAACTGCACTTAGACACTGGGGGCTGAGGGTGCAAGTGGGGTGGTGTGGTGGCATCAGCTGGCATGGCCGGATGATGCCCGCACTGCCCGCTCACCACAGCCATGGAGTACACCTCATCAACACTCACTAACACCATATTGGAGCAGGTGGAGGGAGACTAGGGGTCTTAGTACACCTCTGTTGCTGCTTGGCTTCCTGGGGCTGGAGGCTAGGAGGGAGATCTGGCCGTCTGGTTGGGGTCTGGGGTGGTGGGTTGCTGTGCTCAGCGTTGGGCGGGGGAGCCTGCTCATCAGCACCCCAGCAGAAAGGGTCAAACTCTGGTAACCGGTGATGGTTGTACCCCATGTGCAGCAGTACCGGGACCAGAGTGAATAGGGTGTGTATGGGGAGCATGAGTGGGTGTCCGGCGTGCATTTTTGTAAGTCTTTGGTTGTATGTGCATGTGTGAGCATGAGGGAGGGAGTGTGTGACTGTGTTTGTGTGTGACTGTATATGTCAGGTGGGGCCTTTGACTCCTCCCCTTCTCCTGGGACCTCCTTCGGAGATATACATCTTCGTCTCCCCTCCCCCAGCCACACCTGGTGTGGGGGCTTGTGCCTTGGTCTGCCTGAGTGTTCGTGGCTCCCGGGTCAGGGATTTTGTCATGCACAGATTATCATTCTTTTTGCTTGTTCCCGGGAGAACAGTTCGGACTGCAAATGGTTTGTTGTTACAGTGCAGGGAATATCTACAAGAATGTTCCACAGGAAGTAGCAAAGGGCACTCAGAAATGTCGCTAGGCGCTAGGAGCAGCAACAAAGTAGCTGAGTCAGCAACAATGCCCCTCGCTCTGCCGCTAAGCTACAGATAGCTAAAGCTTGGTTTATGCTTGACACATTCCCTTTCCGCGCGGTGATGCGGCTCGCGGATGGAACGCGCTTCACAACTCGCAGCGTTTGTTGTTCGTGCGGCTCGTCTCTGCGGTGAGCCAATATTCTCCTAAACTGTAGGGGGCAGCATGGAGCTCTACGGCATGCATCCAGCACTACACCATAGTAGAAGTAGAAATGACTGTTTACAACACGGCATTCCACCATTTTTAACAGCGTCCCTGCTTTTCCGACAGTGTGAGCTATTTCTCTCCAAGAATTATTAACAACATGTTGATCACGGTGATCTTTGAGAGCTGAATCATACAAATGTCTGTATTTACCATCCTCTGCCATACTAGTTCTTGCCGGTCCGCCTTGTTTTTCTGTGTCCGTCCGTCCGCGTGGTTAGAAATTTTCCGAAGTGCGCCTTGCGGAAATCTTGGGCCGTGCGGAGGCGCGGTGGAGGGGCGTGGTTGTTAAAATGACGCAAAATGACGCAACTTTTCCGCGCGGAGCTGTGCGGACCTCGCGGACGCGTCAAGCATAAACCCACCTTAACTCTACGGGCTATGCCTGAGCGTGAACGCACATGACATCATCACGCATCACTCTGGAAGGCCCTGGGGCAGCAGGCTCGTTCGTTTTCTGTGACTCTACAGGAACACAGAGGCAATCACAGGAAAAATGCCAGGGACCGCTCTACAGGACCAGGGCATCGCAGGAGAATGCATGAGGAATACAAATTTGAATTTCTATACATGTATTGGTTGTTTGACCTCCTCAATGTCCCTTTGAGGGTCCTCAGAAATGTCTCAAGGTTTGTCGCTAGGCGCTTGTGGGGAAAAAAGTCATTAAGGTGGTCTGAAAAGTTGTCAGAAATGGTGACTAAACCCTAATTTGGCAACACTCGGAACAGCTGATAGTAAACCTTGACGAAAGAGCACAAAAATGGGATCATTTTATTAATTATGAATACCCAAATTGTAATTGGGACAAATTTTCAATCAATGGACCAGCTTTAAGCCCATGTGAAGGACCGACCTGTGTCTAGGGACTCTTGATGCTCTGGGCCATTGTCAGGGTTAACCTCCACTCTAGAGTTGGGTAAGTAACTGAATTTTAATCTCAATCAAACGTAAAATAAATAACCTGATCATTTCCTCCTTCTTTGTGTTTACTTTGTGGGCGACGGTGGCACAGGAGTTAAGTGCTCGCCCCATAATTGGAAGGTTGCAGGTTCGAGCACCGCTCAGTCTGTCGCTGTGTCCTTGGGCAAGACACTTAACCCGCCTTGATGCTGGTGGTGGTTGGAGGGACTGGTGGTGCCTGTGTATGGCAGCCTTGCCTTTGTCAGTGCCCCAGGGCAGCTGTGGCTACATTGTAGCTCATCACCACCAGGGTGTGAATGGGTGAATGACTGATTGTGTTGTAAAGCGCCTTGGGGGGTTCCAGGACTCTAGAAGGTGCTATATCAAATACAGACCATTTACCATTTACTCTTGCGCTGCACATTGTGCACACGTCTCACTACAGTGTTACCAACTCAGCTACTTTCTGTAGAGAGTTTCCAGCCTCGTGGACTCTTTCACTTTTACTCAACATGTTTTTGTCCCCACACACACCAGGAGGCACACTCTGGACCTTTGCCCTGGGTTTAAATATTGTCAGTGTTTGTCCTGAGGATGCCTATACTTCAGATAATCTTTGCATTGTCAGTTTGTACGTCCCCACCTCTTGCTCGACATTTGGCATCAGTTCCTGCAGTGAACCCTGCTCGTTGGTTTAATGACAGCATTCACAGCCTTAAGTGCAGTTTGTCAGGGACTGTTTACTCTCTAACCTGTTTGCAGAGTATCGTTGTGTTTGCTCAGTGTTGACACCATGGCAGCACAGAAACCAGCAAGCAAGATCTGTTACTGTGTCTCGTTATAAAAGCAAATAAATGAGGACAACGGTGTCAGAGACAAGTGGCAGTGGCTGTGCATGTGATCATCACACACGCACACACACACACACACACACACACACACACACACATTTTCGGACTCCATCTGATCTACCCACATGCTCTTTGTTTCATTTCAGATAAATTGTTCGGGAAGAGACTCGTGCTGGCCAGACATTATATAATTTCTCGCAAATCCTGGCTAAGGATGGTTCCCACTGAAAACTGTGACATCCTGATGACATTCCCAGGTACGGTACTCTCTGATGTGTCAAGTGATCAGCTCACACAGACAGCCTCTGATGACCGACTGATCATCTGTATCCTCACAACATAAAGAGGTCTCGAGGGATGAACCTCCAAGTACAAACTGCTATAATGGAGCAGCACTTTGACTGGAGACGTTTTATTAAACAAACGCACACATTTACACACACATACACACACCCAGAGTTAAAAACACATCCTGTTCATTGTGTGATGTTCAAACAAACGGGGTCAGAGAAGTAAATATTTGATCATTTAGAGAGCAGTGGTCATGCTACATTTTTACTCACACTTTCCTTTTTGAAAACCACATTTATCTCATTGTTGAATACAAGGTCAGGGTACTAAATGTAGCTTACCAAAAGCCTGGGCTCCCTGGGCTGCCACCTTACCGTGGTGGAGGGGTTTGAGTGTCTCAATGATCATAGGAGCTAAGTAGTCTGAGGCTTTATGCCTCTGGTAGGGTCACCCATGGCAAACATGTCCTCGGCGAGGGATCAGAAAGAGAACAGCCCAAACAACTGTTATGATGATTACTTCAAATGGAAACCGTGTTCCCTCGTCCGGTCGCGGGTCACCGGGTTCCCCCTCTGGAGCCAGGCCTGGAGGTGGGGCACGTTGGTGAGCGTCTGGTTGCCAGTCTTCCACCCATGGAGCCCGGCCGGGCACAGCCCAAAGAGGAAATGTGGGTCCTCCTTCCCATGGGATCACCACTTGTGGAAGGAGCCAAAGGGGTCGGGTGCAATGTGTAATGGATTGTGGCAGAAGGAGGGGACCTTGGCGGTCTGATCCTTGGCTACAGATGCTGGCTCTCGGCACGTGGAATGTCACCTCTCTGGTGACAAAAGAGCCTGAGTTGGTGTGCGAGGTTGAGAGGTTCCGACTAAATTTAGTCAAACTCACCTCGATGCATGGCTCTGGCTCCAAAACCAGCTTCCTTGGGAGGGGTTGGACACTCTACCACTCTAGAGTTTCCCCGATGTAGAGGCGCCGAGCAGGGGTGGGCATACTAGTTGCCCCCATCTTGATGCCTGTACATTGTATGAGAGGGTAGCCTCCCTCTACCTATGTTGCTTATGCACCAAACTACAGCTAAGACTACCCACCCTTTTTGGAGTTCTTGGAGGAGGTGCTGGAGAGCACTCGTTCTGCTGGGGGACTTTAACGCTCACTTGGGCAACGACAGTGAGAGGTGTGGTGGGGAGGAAGGGCCCCCCTGATCTGAATCTGAGCAGTGTTTTGTTATTGGACTTCTGTGCTCGCCATGGATTGTCCATAATGAACACCATGTTCAGACAAAGGTGTCCAAATTTACACTTGGGCACCAGGATACCTTAGGCCACAACTCAATGATCGACTTTGTTGTCATTTTGTCTGATCTGCAGCTTCATGTCTTGGACACTCGGGTGAACAGAGGGGCGGAGCTGGCAATTGACCATTACCTGGTGGTTAGTTTGCTTTGATGGTGGGGGAGGATGCCGGTCAAACTTGGCAGGCCCAAACGTATTGTGAGGGTCTGCTGGTAACATCTAGCAGAGCCCCGTCAGAAGAAGTTTCAATTCCCATCTTCAACAGAACTTCCAAAATGTTATTGGGGAGGCAGGGGACATTGAGTCCGAATTGGTCATGTTCCGTGCTTCTATTGTGGAGGCGGTCGACCGGAGCTACGGCCACAGGGTCGTCGATGCCTGTCATGGTGGCAATCCCTGAACCTGCTGGTGGACACCAACGGTAAGGGATGCCGTCAAGCTGAAGAAAGAGTCTTATCAGGTCTTTTGGCCTGTGGGACTCCACAGGCAGCGGATGGGTACTGGCAGGCCAAGCGAAGTGCAGCCCGGAATGTCACAGTGGCAAAAACCGAGTCTGGGGAGAAGTTTGGTGAGACCATGGAGCAAGACTTCCGTACAGCTTCAAGGAGATTCTGTTCCATCATCCAGCGCCACAGGAGGGAAATGTGCTACCAACACTGTTTGAAGTGGGGATGGTGTGCTGCTGATCTCGACTCGGGAAGTTGTGGATTGGTGGGCAAAGTACTTAGAAGACCTCCTCAATACCACCAGCACGGCTTCTAGTGAGGAAATTGGGTCCGGGGACTTTGGGTTTGGCTCTCCAATCTCTGGTGCTGAGGTCAGTGAGGTTGTCTAAAAGCTCCTTAGTGGCAAGGATCCAGGGATCGACGAGATCCGGCCATAATTCAACCTTCTCCATCCAGCAGTACTGGTCTCTCCTTCAAACCTCTCACTGTCCCAGAAGAGCAGGATTAACTAACCAAGCTGGATCCAAACAAATCTGCTGGCGTTGATGAAATAGACCCTATTTTCTTAAAAGCATCTGCTCATTTTATTGCCACTCCCATTACAAGAATATTTAATCTGTCTCTACAGTTCTCCATTTTACCTTCAGATTTCAAATTAGCCATGATCGTTACTCTCTTCAAAGGTGGGTCTGACTCTGATTCTAATTGCTATCGACCCATCTCCATATTACCATGTTTAGCCAAAGTCTTCGAGAAGTTAGTTCTCAAACAGTTGAACCACTTCTTTGTCTCCAATCACATTCTTTCAGACCTGCAGTCTGGTTTCCGGACTGGACATGGGCGCATGACAGCCACCATGAAAGTTCTTGATGATATTATCACAGCATTAGACAGTAAGCAGGTCTGCATTGCAGCATTCATTGATTTGGCCAAGGCCCAGCGCTGGACTGACCATAGGGCATAGCGGGCAACTGCCCGCTGGGCCGACCCTTTCATCTTTTATGGGCCGGTGTCTGTTTTTTTTTTCTTTTCTTTTTTTCCTGGCCTCTAGTTGTTGCGGACAACTTGTCCGCGCCGCCCCACGCGACGCCTCGTAAAAGTTGGTGGATTGGCCAATTGGTAATAATACACTCTGGGCTGGACCAATAGCCAGAGGTCTGATGCACCCGCCAGTTGTTTGTGAATCTCAGTAAACAGACAGACGAGCTTAACAAAATGGAGAACAAAAAACGGAAAGGAGGAGCGGAGAAAATTCGACTAAAAAAGAAACTGGCCCTTCAGGCTGATGCTGGCACATGTGTTAAAATCTCACAGTTGTTTGGTAGTGAAGGTTCAAGTAAAATCCATTTAGGAAGTGATGGAGCCTCAGCCCAGCGACAGGTTGGAGAAGAAAAGAGGGAGGAGGAGGAGAAACCCGAGCCGGTGTTGTGCCATAAATTGACTCGCTGCCAAAAAATGATTAGCCACCGCGGGATCGCGCACGGTTAGGTAATTGCATTTCTAGACAAAATTCCCCAGGATTTCGCCCTAAAACTCAGCATATCTAGCAATATGGACATTCAGAAAGCAAAGATAACCTCTTCCAGTACTTAAACAGATGTTTATCGCGGATATTAGTGTGGCAGTGTTTGTGGCACCCTGCGCGGGAGCACGAGGACGTGCTTGTGGAAAGAGGGAGGAAGATGTGGCAGTGTGGTGAGCATCCACAATGTCCCGATTGACCATGCGCCCTGGCTACTAGGCTAAGGAGATGTCCCTTTGGCTGACTGGTTAGAGCGTATGACTCTCACTAGGGAGTCTGGGGATCGAATCCCGCCTGGGCACTCGTTTCTGCACCTTGCCACATTAGTTTTTCCAGTTCGGAAGTTGTTTTAAGTGTTGCTATTTGTCTTAAACGTTCACAATGAGGATATATTAATCATTTTTGCAATATTTGCGATTGAAAGATGGTTTGTGCCACAAACTTTGTGGTAAGAACTGGCTTTCTTTATGTTACAGCCTTGATACTAAAAAAATAAATAAACAATGTAAAATGGTACCCTGTATTGAATGTAAACGTTGTATAAATGGAAATGAACAATTCTCCAGCGATTAAATTTTTTCCCCTTCCTTTCTTTAGTCCACTTGACATGGAGCCACGGTTAACTAGTTTGGGGCACATTTTTACTTGAAAAAAAGTATTTAAAATGATCAAGCATTGACTTTACTGACACTGTGTAGGTTACTATCTATACATTACGTTGCTCTATTTAAAAGTAACAAGATAAAAGCACTTCAGCACATAAAATTAAGATTGTCACTTGCCAAATAGACTACACCCTCCCGTTTACCTATAAGAAATGCCTCAAAATATCTTTAAATTCTTTATTGATGATTTAATTGTAGACAACTAAAATGGCATTTTACTTGCCAAAAAGTGATCGAATTGCTAAGATTTTCATGGAGGCTAAAATTGACCAAATAAGGGTTTTATGTATTATCTGTTGATGTTACTGTACTCATACTGCCTACTGTTTCATCATAAACACCCCAAAAATGGCACAGAAAAAAAGAAAAAAAAGAAGATAATTTCCCTTGCCAAAAATTGATTACAGTGTCCTGGTCACGTGTAAAGGGTTAAATTGACCTAAATATTACTTTATTTATTATCTCTTGATGTTATTAGTGCCATCACAGGATGCTGGGTGTCTTTCACATTCATAAACACCTCAAAAATGGCAACAAATGATCATTTCCCTTGCCAAAAATTTATCACAGAGTCCTGGTCACCCATAAAGGCTTAAATTGGCATAAATATTACTTCATTTATTATGATGCTGGGTGTGTTCCACAATCATATTCGAATAAACGTGAAAATATTCTGTCCGAATATCTGTTTCTTGTTATAAATATAACAGCTAGAAGGATTTACAGTTAAAATAGGAGAAACACGTGACTCCCCAGGAAGGGTCGTAACACCACTCGCCTCATGCACATAAGTGAACAAATCAAAGCAGCATGGAGACACTCCGTCTCCAACCACCTCTCAGGCAGCAGCCTGCACTCCCAAGTTCTACACGTCACCAGAACATAACCAACCGCAACACAATAAAAGCAGTGTTATACAAAATGGAAGGCCTGAAGTGTTTATTCTCTTACAGTAACAACTTATCAATTTTTTGGAGGAATTTATTTGAGAATTTTTTGGTTTTTAGTAATTGTGCAATAGAAAAGTAATCGCTAGATTAA